GCTCTTACACGATTCCGCGATCGAATGAGCCGCGACGGGTGAACGACCTCCTCGCAGACTGATGATTTCGAAATACTCGAGATATGCGCTGTTACAAATAATACTGCCGGACTACCCGCTACGACGGGATCGATCAATTCGCGCTCATTCGTTTCTCAATTTGGAATCCGATCCGAATGCAGGATTCAACCGTGCGACTTTTGCCACGTTTCTTGCATTCGCGATACGTTGCGGTCGCGTCGGCGGTAAAGCGCGGTGACCACTTTCACTCTCGTGAAAACAACGGGTTCTCTAAATATTATTTCAGCACCGATGCTTCCGGCGAGGAAAAGTGTTTTGCTCCAATTTCAATGTGCTTCACGAGTTTTCCTGTTGTGCAACCCGCGGGAGGCGAAGGGAGTAACTCGAAACGCCCGTCGAAGAAACACGACCAAGGAAGGGTTCGTGGAAAGAAAAGAAACTTGATAGGGATCGAACTCGCCGAAGAATTCAATTAAACAGGGCTGTCTGAAGAAACTCGACCGTCGCAAAGAAGATAACTCCCCGGCGGGAAAGTTTCTACGAAAGTGGAAATTTGTCTATACAAGAAGTCTGAGAAATGGTTGGAGGAAAAACAAACGAACAATCGAAGAAGAAAAGAAACGGGAAACAGAGATCGAAGCTCCATACGTAACTCTTAATCTCAGGATTTTGTTACATTTATCCTGGACGCGAGTCCATCGGCTGGTTTTGCCAAGAATGAAGTACGCGAGTTCTCGAAACTTGTATTATACGTTCCTTCCTAACACTTTGCACATACTGGTACTACTAAGAGATAATGCACGTAAGATTATACTACTTGTGTGTGTGTGTATATATATGTGTGTGGTGTGTGTATACATATATTATATACAATAAATTTACGCTTCGCTAATATTGGCACTTGAAGTTTTCGTTATTTTCCAACAAGTCGAGAAAGAATGGGTGAATGGGAGAAAGAGAGATGAAAGACGGAGTTCGATCGTCGTTTGGACCTCTTGAGCATGGATATGATCGTGTCCGCGGAGCATTGCTCATCCGATCACGGACGGAGCGCGAATCGATGACATTCGGGGTGCTTCGGAGGCAGTATTTGAATAAGGGCACTATCGCTCGATGCACCGGGCTCCGATTCGGCTGTCTGGACGAACGTCTATCGCAACTTTCGAAACAAACGGTGGAATTTCGCGTTTAGAAGACGAATACTTAATCCGCCGCAATCGGCGACTCGAGGGCGAGTCTCTTCCGACGGAAACGTGCGACGAGCCTCCTTCTGGATCCACAGAAACGAAATCGCTCCTTGGCGTAAGTTTTGATTCTCTTTCGAAGCGCAACTTTCGCGACTTTCATTACGAGATGTATTTCCGTATAAAACGTATATCTAATATATTCTATGAGTCGGACATATACATGTATGATTCTACGTTAAATTCGTTCCGCCAAACGATCAAGGACAATGATACGATACCCTCCCCTTTTACTCGGAGAACGGCGATCTCTGCTAATAATAATCTCTTCTCGCGAAACAATAACGGAATTAACCAAAAAGCAAGCGTTAAATGTCGTTAAATGCAGCATTAAGAGCACTTACACTTTCACGAAAACGCAACTATCTGGACAACGCTCGGCCCAACTCGAGCTCGTTAGGGAAGCGACGAGCGCGAAAGAAATTGACCTGTTGCTTCGCTTAAGTTAACGCACAAATTACACCGCGATCGATAATCGTTATTTCCTATCGTCTAAACGTCGCTTCACACAGTTCAGTTTCTCTTTGGCACTGTTTATACTCTTTCTCGGCTGAATCATTAAGACAATCGATTGGTCGGTCGACGGAGGACGAGAGCGTTTAATCGAATATGCTTGCCGAAGCTCCTGCTAACTCATAGCTAACAACGAACACCGCCTTCGGATTCACAACGCAATCAATAGCAATATTATTTACAAATGGTACAATTCACAACGGACATTGACTGATATAACGTGGTAACTACAGACCTGAAAAACGTTCGATTCTCGGCCGCAAACCTTTACCGAAGTATCATGTACCAATCTGAACCTGTGTATGGCACAGCACGAAGCACGAGTTAAAGTCGTGCAAAAAAAATGTCGATCCTATTCGCTACAAAAATAAGGTGAAAGTAAATAAAAATAAAAGGAAAAATTAATATCGAAGGAAAGTAAATATTGATATCTTATATTTTTTTATAACCTTTTTTTAACGCAGGAAGAAACGTGAGCAAAAAAAAGTTAAAAATATATATCTAGAATTATGGACGTAATGATCTAAAATTAATAATATTCGCTGATTTCTTTACCTTTGAACTATAGAAATTCTCCGTTTATAATCAAAATTTGTGACCAGTTGCCTGTATCAACACACACCCTTAATATTCGTATATATAAATATTCATATATCAAAACGTTAGCGCGACTTATACTGATATTCGATGCTATGCCATACACATTCGAGGTCCCCTTCTTTCTTCGACTACAATATTCTCAGAACATTTCACGTACGAGAATCCTAATCGAAATATATCGTTCCTCATTTATACGTGTTCTTGATAAAAATTCGCACAATGCATATTTCAACATTACTGAGATTATATATCCACAGCGATTTTTGTAATGCTCTGTATTGCACCTATTATGAAGGAATAATTATCGCTGTTTTGTAATAAAAAATTCATTTTCGACATAACGATTCTTTCAACATTTTCATTATATATGTATTAATTGATTATAAATAACTAGGGATTATAAAACAAAAAGCAATTGATAAACAACCAGCGTGAATTCAATATGTTTAAGCAAATATGCCCTGCCATCTCACTCTCCCGAATTTATGAATTCGACTAACAGCATTCGATAGTAATACGATAATGTGTGTGTTCACTAAAAATTATATATGTATATATTTATATATAAGAGAGAGAGAGAGAGAGAGAGAGAGAGAGAGAGAGAAACAGAAAAACATAATTTGTTAAGCAGAATCTTAAATCCTATTGCTGATTGTAGATTACGTAAAAATTGAAGACAAAATCGCGGATAACAATAAAATTTCAGTAACATTATTATCGCATATACAATTAATTTGACATTGTTATATTCGACAGATCGTTTTCACACCTTTTCCCAAGTACCTTACATCTGACAAATGTCTTCTCTTTCTTATACCCACGGCACGATGGACGGCTTTGGGCAAATTACTCGCAATCGTAGAAATTTTCACGCAATATGAGCAATAAGAGGACTTAAGACTGTCGGAAGAAAGCAAAATCGCGCGTTGCAATCAATCGTACAAAATGTTTAGTTTTTTAATCGCTGAAAAAAACCAATTTTTTTCTCGCGAAATAAAAGTAAACATTATAAAAAGCTGTAATGCATTTCCTATAAAAATATTAGAAATTGTTTTTTTTTTAATATTTGATGTATATAAATAAATAAAAAGGATTCATGTGTGGAATATCTATTTCCTACACAATAGTAGTATTCGAATGAATCTCTATCAGCCCTTAATATTATGATCGTTATAAAATAACGTATTAAAAAATTTGGCATCGTGAATTTCCGTAAATTTTCGAAAAAATCAATTGGAAATCCTATTGCAAAAGAATTCTATTGCAAGAAATTGATTGCAATTTCTATTGATTATTGTATACAAAAATTAACTGTGTTTTATCTACTTGAACAATAAATTAACCAATAATAATAATGATACTAAAATAATATTAATAATTACAATATTATTAATTATAATAATGATAATAATCAAACAAAATTATTTTTTATGCAAACTGTTATGAAACTGTATATAGCATACGGTATTGTCGTTCAATTATATACTTATATGATCAATGGTTGTTATATATTTTGTATTCTTTAACTTTTTTCTTACTATGAGAAAATTGTTATCGCATTGGGCTGCTGCTTTCATTCTTACACAACAATTAAAATTTAAAATTGTAAAAAAATCTATAATTTAGCACAACATACTATAATCTCTTACAGTTAAAACCACTGTCGAACCGAGGTGGTTCGACTCTTAAAAAGGATTTTAATTTACGATATCAAACTACATTTCAATCTTATTTGATCTGTTTGATTCTTATTGCGCGACAGATCAATCTGCTCATTTCTTTTTTTTTTCCTTTTTTTCAATTATTCCTTATGTCCTTTTTTTGTCAACCGACCATTCCTATCATACGACTAATTCTCATTAAAATCATTCAAGATATCAACGAAGAAAAAAAAGAACGAAGAAGTAACAAAGAACGTCAAAATCACAAAGCACTAAGGTTTCTCTCTCATATTGTAGGAAGGTAATTAGCTTTTCTTCCAAGCCCTTTCTCAAGTTGCGACGAGCACGCATGAATCGAGCGCGAGAGATCCGTACCAGCTCGTGGATAAAATGTCTGCCTGTGTATATGTAATGTATGTACGTTGCGAGCCAATTTTCTTTCCTCTTTTTCCGGATAAAAAGAAACCCGGACGTGGCACGCGATAAGCCTTATTATCTCTTGGACCCTCTTCTCACAATCTTTTTTGTTTCTTTTCTTTTATCTACGTACTCTTAAACTGGACGACACACTTGGACGTGCGCACGGTAAGTAACTTATTGTAGAATTTAACTATTTCATATTCCCACTGCGTCTTCTCTCTTCTAGAATGTCTTCTTCAGTCGTCGCAGGACCAGCTTCGAATTTCCTCGCGTTTGTACGGCTTCCGTGTTTCGCGCGTTTTTGCTGGTCGTCAGAATGCCCTCTCCTTACATCCGTATTTCTAATCCGAACGCATTATCTTTTCTTCTTGAAGTCGATTGTCGTCAGCCTTCACCAAGCAATATCATGGGTTGGTCGAAGTTAACGCGCAAGCCCTGCTTGGCCCGCCGTGACGGCGGCAGTCGACGAGATCGTGTGAAATCGTCGGAAATCGTCGCAGACGATCGTCGACTTCCGCGGGGAGAATCAGCACAAATCTCAAAGAGTATCTCATGTACGATATATTACTATATATGTACGATATATATATATTTTTTTTTCATGATGTTATAATGTAAATCTAAATATCGTACAAGAGATAAATCCGAATCGAGTCACTTGACTTTTTCGGCGATAGAACCCAGGAACCATGTGGACCGTGAAAGATCAGCCTTGGAACTTGCCGAGAAAATGCAAATTCTGCGACAGCGTTGACAGTAGCGTACCGACAACGAAGAGGAAGAGGCGGGGAACAAGAGACGGCCTTTTCAGTTTGTGTCAGTAGTGCCGACTATTGACATCCCCAATGTTTCTGGTGTTGGTATTACTGGTGGCGTTAACTACGCGGTTGTTGGACATTGCGGTTTCGTATTCTAGGATCAGTCGCTTTATATGGCTCAGCTTGTCATGCAGGTAATCGAACCGTGTCTTCATCTGCAAATGCCTTGGATCATTTTTGCACGCATTATAGTCACGGAGTATCTGTTCCTTGTACACCTGCGGGAAAAAAGAAAACGTCACTGTATGAGAATCGATGCTCATTCGTTCGTTTAAGAAATACGATTCTAACGGCCGCGATAAAATACCTGCGCTCTGGCCGTATTGCCCAGATCCTTTTGCCCTTGCATCGAGTTGTACAAATTCGTGAAATGTTGCCCGACTACGACCATTTTAGCGTGCAATTTGCGGTACTCATCGTAGTTGGCACAGAAATCTTCTTTGTAACGCCTTTTTTGCTCCACGCTGCTTACTGTTACGTAATCCCTTAACAAATATCAATCATTTTACGTAAATAATGTTGCATCAATCGAACAGATTAAATTCACACACAATAATCAACAGAAAGACGCGCAATTTTTGATTCCGTTCCAGATTTTACGAACGATAACATAGCTAATATACTCACGTGAGGTAATCGGGATACTCCCTGAGGTTGGCCGGTCTCTCGAACAGCGAGCCTGCGGCGGCGGCGGCGGCGGCAGCGACGGCGGCAACGGCGGCATTGGCATTATTGGTAGAATTGGCATTGTAAGTAGGAGCACCGCTGCTGGAAGCTTCGTTGTGGAAGTTAGTACCAAGCGTTGCGGCAGTACTCCTATTTCTGGACTCTCTCTCCCTGTTCCTTTCTTCCCTCGCACCTCGACTCCTGTCACTCTTGTCTCTCCTGTCAATGTTCACTTCGTTCGAACTGCCCTCGGCGGCGTTTCCGCTGGATACCGTCGTGGTACCGCTGTCGCGTCCGTGCCCGGCCATCTGGTGATGGTTGCTTCTCGCACTGTCACTGGGCGACGACGTCAGGCACGATGGTCGATTGGAGGAACCGTCTGAAATCGCAGCGACGGCGGACGCCACGGCGCCGTAGCTGTTGCCAGTATCTCGCAGCACATCACTGTTCGCTATCCTTTCAGCTCGGTAATCAACGCGGCTGTTGCGCTCGCGCTGCGTTTGCTGTCTCGACTCCCAGGCCTCAACGAAACCGTCACTTCTGTTACCAGCACTATTACTATTGGCACCACAAGCACTATTACTACCGGCGGTACGATCACCACCGATGGCTGTTGCACTAACACCACTGCTATTATTATTGTTATAACTGCTGCCGCTGGACGCCCTTTCGGGAGCACTACTGCTGGAAATGAAGGAGATGGGCTCGGGTCTCCTGTAATGTGATATCCGTGGTTTCTTCGTCGGCAGCCCATCGTTACCCTGGTAGTATCCCGGTCTCTTGTTGCCCTGCAGGCTGGCTGGTGGCGCCGTGATTGCCGGCGGCGAGCCCGCGTGGATGGAGTTCGGCGAATGCCCGCTGCCTGTGAATGTAAAATACAAAAAAAAAAAATGTGTCATTTCCAGAAAGCAACACTTTTCAACAACACGCTCCATGGCGTGTCAATAACGGTAATACACGTACCGCTGGAACCACCGTCACTCGCTGGTGGCGTAAGATTCTGAGGTTTCCGCCTTTTCAGAATCGCCTTCTCCTGATCAGTGTAGAAAGGCCAATCCTCTTGCACATCGTTCCAGATGTGCCTCTGCAGTTCGTACGTGTTGTCGCGCACGGTCGCCACTTGCTTCAAGACCGTCATTATGATCGATCGCTCACGGTCTCTTATACCCTCTGCAATTTGTCGGGGCATTAAGTATTGCGGCTGCATATTCGAGAAAGTTAAAATTAAAAGCCTTAAGACTTCATTGCAACTCACCTCTTGTAATGCGATCGTAAATCTCGGGTTTCTTGTAGGGCCTCAAAGCAAGGAGGTGAATAAGCCTTTCCCTGTTGCACGGAAAAATACAAAATATATCCTGACGTAATGCAAGATAAAAAATATTAATCTTATTCAGCATTAAATTCTATTAATCCTTGCTTCATTAATCCAACGCGAGCAGACAGTTATTTCCGCGTCTTTTATCGCAGCGTGACTTATTCTCGCGCTTCATGTCAACTCGTCAATGCACTTACTTAAGCGGCCTGCGCATTAGGTCGGAGATCTTTTTCTCCGGACTGCGAGTCGTCGCTGGATGGTTACTACTACTATTACTAGCGGCCGGCTTGTTGGTTGATGCTTTGGACTGACTACTGCCGGAAGTTGGAATGGTCGTCGTAGATTCCCGATGCTTCGCATACGGAGGTGGTATTATCCTTCCGGTTCCTTTCACTTTCACCTTGCGTCCGATGTCTGGACCGTTTGCCTTGATCACCCTCGTGCTGGAACAGCGACGTAATTATCATCGAGTGAAAACGTATACTAATTTGTGTAAGATTTCTCCGGTATGTGTGTTAATTATTATTTAATTAAACAATATAACAATGTAGAAAATACAATTGAGATTCAAGAAATGCAAAGTACTTGTAAATTTATCGTTTGTTTAAAGTGTCGGATAAATTTCGAATGTATTTATCAATTTAGAGAAAGTATAGAGTTTTATTTCGCATGTCATTCGAGAGAGATAGAGATATATTTGCAGATAATGACAATCTCTAATTTCTCTTCTATTTTTACAAAACATCGATCTCTCTGTGTGCAAACTGCACGAGACACGTCGCGTATCGCGTACAATTAATGCAATTTACAATATTTGCTGACACGGAGATCTGATCGATTGGCATTGATTATGTAATCTTTCTCAACATAAATCGCGCGCGTGCATGCCGTGGATAAAGCACCGTAACGGCGAAGAGAGACGAAAAAGGGTTCTGGTGTGACGAAATCGCACTTGTGAGGCGCTCTTAACCTTGGCCATGACGACGACTAAACAAATTAGCCGCGTCGTCGATGGAGCTCCGTCAACAAGCGAGAGCTCAATGCCACACGCGTATTCCAAATTGCGGCTAATTGCAAACAAAATACAACATCCCGTTCCGAAAATCTTTCCATCCGTTTATTTCAAAATCGTTTTCGTTTCAAATAGCATGTAGATTGGATAAGTTATATATAGCTGTAATAAATATGCGATACAAGGTCAAATATTGACAATGTTCGCATTAAATATGCGACATAGCAATATTAATATCATTAATATAGCTATGAATATTGTACAATACGAATCAAATTAATAATATTAATAACTGCATTTATTGTAACATTGCGAATGTTTATCCTTGCACATAAATAATATACTTTCCTTACGTATCTCCAGATTTCAAAGCCGTGCTATTAAAATTTCTAGATGACTTGGTTTGATTTATAGTTAATAAACCGCATCGAGATACAGGAAACGAAGTGCTATTTGAGATACACCGGAAGATTGAACGACCGACTGAAAGTGCAGTCTCGCGCATACAATTCTCCGCGAGTACTCGCGATGTCGCGACGGCGTGCTTGCGCGAGACTCGTAAATTCCTTCGTGAATCGCGCGAACATCCGTTAGGAGACCGGGCGAAAGTTTGTAAAAGTAACGCTGCGACGCGAGCATTATTTACGATTTCGCGAGGCGCGGCAGCCGCGGGCGCTTCGCGAAGAAAAAGTCCTGAAAACGGGGGGAGGGGGGGGGGGGGCGACGCTTCTCCAAAAAAGGAAAATCTTTTTCCCATAGGATCGAATGGCTGCCGACAACAGTACGTCCTGCTGCTCGAGAAATATCCTTACCATTTGTTCTTGTTATTCTCCTCGGCGACCGCCATTCTGTGCCTGGTGGTCTCGTAAACGTCGTCGTTTGCCTGTATCCGCATTTTGTATGACAGGTTGCCGAGGTTATTGAGGTTTCTGCAGAAGAAAAAGAGAACAAGCAATATAATATTGTGAGTAGTTCATTAATCGACGGCTTCTTTCGCTTTCATGCTAAATAATAAAGCTAAAGATAAAAAAATGATGTAATTCTTGTAATTCCATAGAATAGAGAGTTATTATTATTATATCAAGATGTTAATGGCTCTTGTAGATCAAATAAATCCATAATAAAGGATGAGTAAGAATCTAAATTGCAATTACAAAACAAACGTATGTCTTGTAGCTATAAATATAACGATTCACACACACACACACGTGAAATAACATCGACTCATTATTGCTTGGAAAATGAATTAAAGTAAACGAAAGTGAATCGGCAGGCCGATTGAAATCTTCGATTCTTCATTGTCATTGTTACATTTTTTAACATCAATTCGCCGGGATCGTCGACGAGGTAAGTGCTACTAGCAGCCGGTGCCTCTGCTGAATCGGTTCTGCTGACGCAAGCATAACCGTTCACGACGCCGTAGTCGCTGATAGTCGACACCTGCTGCCGGCGCACTAACAGCGCGCTTTAGTGTGTCAAGTTGCCGCGATAAAACCACCTGCTCAAGGATGCTCCAAAGTTTTTTTTTTTATGTCACGCGGTTTAAATTGAGGATTACGTTACGCCGCGTACGACGGGAAGATTACTTGAAATTACCGCATCGTGTGTCGAGTCCATTCACCGGGACATCGTTTCTCGGCTATGGCGAATCTGATAGCCGCTACGGCACATATACGCCTTTTATGACGCTAAAATGTAATGATAACAAAGAATTTTCGCCGACTGACAAATTACGGCCGATTTAATATGGCCATTAATTTCTTACTACTGCGATTGCTTCTTACGACCACACCGCTATGTGTGTCAAGCGTAAAATCTATAAATTTAACATGTAAGTTTCTTCGCAAACAGAAGTATATTCGAGTTATATCGAAACAATATTGATACATACTTATGGGCGACTTGTTGAACGCACTCGAAGCCATTTTGAGGACCCTCGATGTCCTGGTTGCTGAAGAGGCTGAAGTTGAATTCGGCCAATCCATGGCTGGATGGAATGTTGAGTTGCTGAAATCAGAACGCAGAGCGCGCTGGTTAGTCGTTGGTTAATAAGATCGCATTAAATTACGAAACAGCGGCTTACGCGGCAGTGTATCTACGTTCGTTTCTATATGCGCCTGCTATGTATCTCTCTTTTCTCTTATAGCCGTAGGTATATATCTGCCGGGTACATGAAGCTCACTCATGTATCTGTCCAACTATCTATTTAGCATCTGTCTCGTCAATTTCGCTTACTTCTCTCTCTCTCTCTCTCTCTCTTTTGGAAAAAAAACTTAAAAAATTTACAAAATAATAATACTCTTAAACATTGCGTGCCTTTAAATTTATGTAGAAAACTCTCTTACCAAATATTTTTAAAAATTGCTTGTCGATGTTTGCTAGGTAAATGCAAAACTTTTCAGCCCTTTCAATGCGAAAAGCGTATATATACTGTTCAAAGACACACGTTATAGTTTCAAAGCGTATATATACGATGCCTGATAAACTTTATATTAAAAAAAAAATAAAAAATAAAAAAAACGATCCTGCTTCATGCTGAGTCATGCACAGCGAACGATTATACGTGTCATCCTAACCTATAAATTCGGCGCACCGGCGATTGTTTCGCATTTTTACTGTACTGAAAAGATTAATTACTTCTGTGATTGAGCGATGGCATTTTGCAAATCACTCACCCGGGATAAATGATTCTGGGCCTGTCGGAAGTGATCTCACCTCTCAATAAAGCTTTTTTATTCAATCGTGAAACTTTTCTACGCGAGGTACTGTCATAACGATAATTATATCGATTAATGTCGACCCGTAGCGACCACCCGAATGATCCCGATTTAGGGCGAACACGAACGACCAATGAACGATGACTAAAGCCACGTTTCTGCATAGGTCTGCGACCTACGGTACCGTTACCTACCTCACTACTGTCAGCTGACCAGCTGATCGTAGTAATGTACAGTTACGTAACACCACGTGTGCGCGCGTCACGTTGGTTTTTATATAGTCCGCGTGTGGGCCGGATTTTTAAAACATTATAACTCGATGAAAAATTGACACAGCGACACGTGGTAAAAAGGGATCTTCTCCGCTTCGCGTTCCGCACATGACTACGCTCAGTGTGCACGCTCTTCGCATGTATATATGTGTACACTTATTAAAATATAAAATGGATTATAAAATCTGTGGCAATTATATCAATTCATGTTTAACTCGCGAAGCTTGAATTCAGCCGAAGATTTTATTGACATTAATCCGCAGATAATATGAACATTTCTGTGCTTTGCAATACAGTTAGTAACTCGCTTTATTAATATATTCGCGATAATGTCATATAAACGGCGTTTATTGAGAACTGAACGATAATGACAAGTGTACGCCTGGCTCGTCCGCGCGTGTATGTGCATCATCGGCCACAAAGTCGATCTCTGATCAATGTTGCGAAACGAGAACGCGATGAACGCGTGAAACGTATTATCGTTTGCGGAATTAGCGCGTAATTCGCGTAATCGCGAGTAGCCGTATCCCGGTGGTATCGATTACTGTGGAATGAGTGGAGAGCGCGTCCGTCATCGCCGAGAGAAGATAATGCCGACTAGGAGTACATTTCAGAAGTAAGTAGATCCTAATCGGATTGTCGTCGGGCACGACGGTGACATTTCGATGTCGTTGGGATTAAAAGGAATTCGAGCGATCGCAGATCGATAGCGAAAGAGCAAAGGGCACGTAGCACGTTTCAAGTTTCGCAGAGTGGTTGCGGTATCTGGATTGTAGTTTAAATCATTCTCCAAAGTTTTTCCTCAAGTCGCAACGCTAATTCAGAAAAGAAAATTCAGCCATGAATTACTTCGACATCTTTATAACATGTGTGCATTATTCAAATTTTATACGATGGTTCGCTCACAACTTTTTGACGGACAAATGAATGAATAAAATATTTTTTTACAATATTCTTATAAATCTGTATCAAACTCACACGTACATGCAAGTCGACGATCGTTAGCGAATTATTTGAAAGTAAATTTGGAGTTTTTTAACGCCGAAGAATTAACTGCAATTGAGGCAAGTGCGAGCGGCCGATCGACAGATCCAGCCGACCCTTTTTTTTTTACGATTCAATTTCATTGAAAGCCAGTCGAGCGCAACTGACCATTTCGCAATTTTGTGTATATATTCTCTTTCTCTCATTGTGTCGTTTTGCCCTCGTTCGCCCTCACATTACTCTTTTTCCTGTCTTCACGTGAAATCCTTTTTTCTTTCCCCTTTACAATGCAACGTTTTAATAATTACAGATGCATGTCGAATCGTATGTCGGGCGCATTGTAATCGAAACGTTTGGGATAATTGAAAGCTCCGAAGAAGCGGCGGCATGCAACCGATCATGAATTATCAATCGAATTGACGCTCCATCTTTTTAGCCGTACAACATATGTGCTTCTTTGATAAATTATCTTGAAAGATATTTTTAGTCAATTATATGCTGTACGTAAGATAATTACGCAATATTATATTTATGTAATAGAATCTTCTAAAGGGTAAAGGTCATCACGCAACATAAATCGCGCAATAGAATCTGGCTAAGGTAAAAATAAGAGCTAAGATAACACGTGCCACTCATGTTAAAAAAACTCGCAGCTGCGCAATCAACTACACGTCGTAAAGAAAAACAAGAACAAAAATGGACCCATATTATTCAGATCTCGCGTATGACAGGATGATGCGACGTGGCGAATTAGCGCTTTAGATCAGGTGAGAGAAGGTGGACGTGACGGCGAGCGTCGAGGAAACGATGATCATGACAAGACAACACATGCGATATATCGCAGTGTACGTAATATCGCTCGAGGGACACAGGGCCGCTTCTCTCACGGGCATTCACGTATCGAGGCCATGGGGGAGAGAGGGGAGGGGGGGGGGGAAGGGGGCTCCTCGCAACAAGCATCCTTCCTTTTTCCTCCAACAGCACGGTCATCGTCTGTTAAACGAAAGGTCGAATCACGCGAGAATACGATATGAAAGTTTTGTGAAGGGAGCACCAGCGCGAGGCGAGCGAGCGAGCGAGCGAGCGAGCGCCCGGGAGCGCTCATTTAAATTTCACTACGCGCGCGGAAGGACGGCCGGTTTGTCCGTCTGGTTACCTGGCTGGCTCTCCGGTTCGTCGTACGACTATGTCGCGAGACGAGATTCGTGCTCCACGAGAATCCATTGTGCGGGCCCCGTACACAAATACTATCGACCAGCTGGTTCGGATTCTCACGGCGCCGTCCGGATACATGGGAGAATCGAGATCGCACGGAGATCCCGCGATCGGAGGGAGAGGGGGGGGGAGGAAGAGTTCGGCCTCCGAAATTATGATTGTTGAATCAACCTCAATCCCACTGAATAGCGATATTTAGGATTGGGGCCCGTTGATCCTTTCAGATTCGTAAATACACAATTTCACTTTTCTCATTAATTCAATAGTACTGCAACATGAAAAAATCTTTTTAATTAACACACTGTGATAAATAATATGTTTTGCATATATTGCTTTGAATTTTAATTGGAAATTTGTTTATCGAGATTCAATTTCGATAAATGAGAAACTCTTGAAAAATAAGATACGTAATCAGAGAATTCCGTGGAGAAAAACCGGACCGTAAGTTAATCGGGGAATCCGCGGACCAAAGTTTATCAGTGTTTCTCAGGATTATCACGCCTAACTTCAGTGAGGAACGATCGCGCTTTATTCATGCCGCGCATATAAGGTATGCCAAGTTGGACAATTCTCAGCAGACGCGTCTGCTGCTCCCTCGTTTTCTTCCTCTCTTATCTTCCTCCTTTCTTTCGCGGTATCGAATTCCATTTTTCGCAATTTAAGTAAGTGCCGGCGGCGGGATAATTTTAACCGACGGTGATTTATTTCGGTGCGGCTTTCCGCGTACGAATGCAACTGCTGATAGTAGCAGTCCGCCCACCTACTCGCGCTGCCAGGTTGGGATTATTTCGGTTCTTAAGGCCGCGGCAACAGCTGAGCGACGAATGGTAATCGCCGCCCGTTGCATTCGCGACATTCCTGCGCCGCCGCCGTCGATGAGACACCTATCATCGGGTTATTATACTCACAAGCATAATGAAAGGTCATTTAAAAAAAAGTATCAATATCTTTTTCATTCGCTTGGCGAGATCTGCCTCTACAAACGTGTTGTGTTTTATCAATTTAATAGATTGCGGCTTATTTGTCAATATTTTTCTTACACGTGTCTCTCTTTACATTTATTCCCACAAGGTTTATTCACATTATTTTGCTACGCAGTGTTTTGCTAATCAACGGACATTAGCGAGATAAAATACGGCGATAAAATGCAAATTTATCAAATTAATAATCCGAATAAATTGTTAATTCATTTTGCGCGACTTTCGATTCGCATAAGGCGCGGATAAAACGTCCGCATAAACAGCATGTATAATATAATCATTTGCGAATAAGAGTATGCGAATAATTCGCTACCTGATAGCGGCTGAACGCACGCGAGATGCTGGAGAGTAAGGAAACGGCGTGGAGCCGATGAATGCGCCGCGGCAAAAATTACGGAGCAATTACGGTCGTCGGCCAGCCACGTATCGCTGACGCGAATGCGTTGAATTTGCTAATGAGGCTTATCTCCTCAATTTACACACCGCCGAGTGGAATATTCTAATCCCGATTTATTATTAGCATTTTTACCGGGTGCGCAAGTAACCTCGCCGCATTATATCCGTCGTCAATCATCGCGATCGCATTATCAATGATTTACAACGAGAAAAAAAATATCCAAAGCAGAGGAATTTATTTTCGGGCTCTAACGGCTCCAACTTATTTATACATGCCCAAAAGCAGATGTGTACGTGTGTGTCTGTGCGCAGAAAAGAGCGCCCGATCGATCTCAAGGGACGCAAAAAGATGGATGTTAATAATGGAACTTATTTATTTCTTCACGAGTGTTCTGTTTGACGGTGATAGATGCCATTCAGAATCCTTTGAAGAATCGGATACA